ACTGGTATGAACATTTGAAAAATAAACTTGAAAGGTTAAGGCCAGATAACTCATTGTAGCAAGTTTGGTCACGGATTGATATCAGTTAGAGAACCATTGAAAACCACCAAAGAGTACTGGACAGCTGTTTAATCCTAGTTTGGGACTCATCAACAGTACGCAACTACTCGGGTTACATGGCGAGTTCGTAGACCACTCAGCCACCGGGACCTGATCCAGTGGCCCATGAATTCCAACTAATGCCGATTCGCGGCAGTGTTACAAGCAAGTAACCGATCTCTTAGCTGACTTGATGGATCCCCGTGGCTGCAGCTTCTCAATAGGACTCCATGTAACTTTCTATATGACCATCAGATTCATTTCCATAGTTTCTTTGTAGGGAGTTGATTACAAAGCAACCAGAAGGTCATAGGTCCGAACCCTAGCGGTGGGTGCATACAGATGAACAGTCTCAAACTAGAAGGATAAAACAGACTTCCAGTACTCTCTGTGTTGGTTTCCAATGGTTCTCTATGTGATATCAATCCGTGATCACACCTGAGACAAACTGAATCCCTACAAACAAACTCTTGAAAAGTCATTATTTGTTTTCGTGGAGGTTTTTCGAACGAGACACTGTTAAAATAACTAATATTTGTGGCTTGAAGGTGGACGTAACTCATACTTTCCAAACATACTCATTTACTCTGCGGTTATTTTAAGCAGTGTCATAATGATTCAGTCAGACTCCGCACGGTCTGGATATTTACAATATTCCGGTATAATTTGATAAAGAAACCAGATTTTATAAAAGATGACGAGGACTCTAGTGTCCCATTCTCTTTTTTGGAATTCTTTTTTTATTAGTTTGAAATGGGAAATAGCTGAAGATAAGATGTTTCCCTTCCTCTCTTTATTACTCTTAGGCATTCCCATAAATCAAACAGACAAAAACCTTCTTAATTTTTTTTTTTGAGTGTTGAGAACGCGTCGGTGGTTCAATGGTAGAATGGTTGCTATCCACACAGGTGGCTTGGGTTCGATTCTCGGCCTTCTGGACTTCAGATGACTGGAAGAGAAGGCTGAACATGAGTCTGTCAGCTCTATCCCGTAAAAATTAAAAATAACCGTTACTGAAATTTCGAGGTTCCAAGCCTAAAGCTATCTGCTGTGAATTCATAACAGGGAGGAATGGAAAAGATTATCCCCAAAAGCCCGATGTGTCCTGTTCCACCCTATTTGTAGACATAAATTAGTTTGTTATAATAAAAGTTTTTATATTTCCCAATAAATGAAAATCAAAACGATACTGTTTTTACTGACGTTTCGCTATTTAATGCTAATAGCTTTATCAAAGCATTATTAAACCGGAATTTACCTTGCCTACTTACTAACTCACATAATCTAATCTCCATCTAAAATGGCTAACTAAGTGAGCTAATAACTGAGACTACAAGAATACCACCACAGAAAATTTTAAACTAGTAGTCAATAACAATATTAGTGTGCTTTTTAAATAATATCGATTTGTAAAGTAAGATCACAATGGAATTACAGTTCACTAAAGATGCTTGAATCATAATAATAATATGAAGATATAGTGCAAATAGAATATCAACTAAAATTAGGAAAATTCCACAAAAATTCCGGATCATTCAAACATAGGTGGCCAAGGTAAGCATTAGTATAGTGTATATGACAAATCCCTTTTATTTTGAGGTTTCTCTTCAGCTACTTACAACCTGTAACGTTTAATTTTTTTTTATTACTTTACGTTCCCAGTGGAACATAGGGCTTCAAGTTACGCTGGTAGTAGTATTTTTATTTTTTAATTTTTTATTTTGGTTACAGCTTGATGCCACACCGTATTTTCAGTACAAGTATGGCATTTTCAGCATGGATATCGGTAGCCCAAATTTTGCAGGCCGACCATAGATATCGGGTGTGCATCGGCAGGGGCTCGAACCTCGGACCATGTGCATGGTCGGCGAGAGTCCTAACCACTGTGCCAACCGACGTAGTAGTAGTAGTAGTATTTATTTTTACGGGATGAGATTGCTAGCCTCATTACGAACCTTGCCTCTTTACGAGTCTTATTACTGGCTTAGCGAGGTAAATGAGTGCGTCGGTGGCCGGAGATCGAACCCTGGACCATGTGAGGCGTGGTTGGCGAGCATTCTACCTCGGTGCCACTGACGCGTAACATTTCCCTTCAGTATCTATGTTCATATTATAAGTGAATTGATCGAAGATGCTTAGAAACCTCAATCAGCGGTGTATAAACCCTTAAACTTCCCTACATTCAGGGTTTCCATTGCTGACCTTAATCATTATCTCTTAACGATGCGGTCAGTGTACAAAAACAAATAACACACGGTCAGTAAAAGCGCCAAATTAAATTTAAGTATAAAAATTGAAATATTCACTTTTGGTTATCTGAAAAATGTCATTTTCAATTTTTTTTTAAATATTTCTAAAATAAAATATATATTTTTCTAAAAAACAAACAAATATGCTTCTTTGTATGTGTGTAACATCGTTCTCTTGTCAGCTAATATTCATGTGGGTATAGTGACTGAAACTCACTCATTTTAATTTAATCCCAAACTTTCTGATTTAAAAGAAAAATCAATCTGTCACATCTACTCACAGAAATTAGTGGTCAATTTATGGAAACTGAACTAAACTCTAATTCTGCGTATATCATCTCTACGCACTGAGTCCTCCTCTGTATGTCCGCGCATATATTCGTGTGTGTGTATGTGTGGTTGAGAGAGAAAGATAGAGACAGACAGGGACAGCACTTGTTTCGGTGTGTAGGTCGACAGTGAAATAATGAAACAGAAGAACAGATGGATTAATGAACTCAAAATTTGTCGATTACTATTATTATTATTATTGTTAATATTACCTGTCTGTAAATAAATCGAATACAAAATTTCTGCAATACTGAGGATAATAATAATATTCTATAGTTTGGTTTGTAAGGATTAGTTATGTTTTACGAGTTGATCACGGATTGATATCAGTTAGAGAACCATTGAAAACTAGTACTGGAGTACTGGACAGCTGCTGTTTCATCCTAGTTTGGGAATCATCGGCAGTACGCACCCACCACCAGGGTTCGAACCCAGGACCTTCCGGTTACAAGGCAAGCTAGCTCGTACACCATTCAGCCACTGGGACCCGATTCAATGGCCAGTCCATGAATTCTAACTTCTACCAATTCGTGATTTAGCGCGACCCCAACCATTGTCGTTGGTGGGACATCCATCCACACACGTGACATCTAATTGCACGTCACTGGTCACGACTTCTCACTAGAACTCCAGGAAGCTCCAACCTGTAGCAAGTCACTAGCGTGCATCAGATTAATTTTCTATAGTTTGGTTTGTAAGGATTAGTTATGTTTTACGAGTTGATAATAATAATAATAATAATAACAATAGTAATAATGCCATTTCAACTGTAACAACTGGTTGCTAAAGTGACAGAACTCCTATGTGATGATAAACGAACAATTAGAAACAAAAACAAAAATTAAGCTTTTTTTTCTGTCATCATCTCATGGGTTTCTATCCCTAAGAGGCAACAAACCTCAGTGTAATAAGCAGCCAATCAAAACTTGGCTCAATTTTGCGGTCACATGTTCTCCCACGGCCAATGTACGTAAGTGATGCACATATAGGTTGCAGAGAGTGAGAGAGAGAGGTTACCCTGTGATCGAGTGGTTACTATGATGAGTGAGCGTAACATACTGTAGACAGAGAGAGAGAGCAGTAGAGTTTCAAATTGTTGATTTTTCGACTCACAAATTCATACATACATACATACGCATTACGCACATACACAACACAACACACACATAGGCAGATAGACGACACATTTTAGGGTTATATTCATATTTTTGAAAAATAGGGTGAGAAAATGAACTGTGGTTCTCGAGGCTCTGACGAAATGTATGCGATGCATGTGTGTTTCTATGTAGACATGAATTAATTTATATAAACAACTATGCATTCCGATTTATTTGTGTGTGTGTGTATCACACCAGTGTGTGTGTGCATGCATGCATGCATGCACGCCTACAAATTCAGGGTGGGTGAATCTTTCGAATCTTTCAGATTATTTGTATTTAGTGTTATGGTTGTTGTTATTTTAGTTGTAGTTGTGCTGTGAGATGTTGTACTTGATTTGGTTGGATAGCTAGCTAGCTAGCTCAGTTGGTTAATATTCACTTTATAAAGTAAAAATATTGTCCTATCGACACAAAAGTTTATTCAACAATTCACAGGAACTTGTACAAAATCAAATCATGTGTCTCTCTTTCAGTTTTCAAAAATTAAAACAAAAATATGTGTGGTGTGTGTTTAACTAATATGTATGTATATATGCCTATGAGGAACAAAAGGGTGTGAGGGAGCGAGCGAGCGAGAGATCAGTCATCCACACAAGAGAACGAAATTTTATTATATCTGCGTCTATATGTGTGTGTGTGTGCGTGTGAGTGGATGAGGGAGAGAGTGACTGAATGGATGGCTGGCTGAATGAGTGAGTGAGTGAGCGAGTGAAAAATGGATGGGGAGGGTGATGATACTTAAAATTGAAGAATTCTATAGGTTTAAATCTTTCTTTAAATTTCAATTTTTTAACGGTTAACACGACACGACAACTTGGCTAGTAGATTGCCCAGAGAAAGAGAGCGTATACATATATTTTTTTCTGCTGCCTACTTGAAGACAGTGATTTCTGTGAGCTAGCTGCACATCGTTCTGTGATATACCATCGCGGTGTTTACCTTGAGTGTACCCAACACAATACTACTAATTATTATTGACAAATATACCACTGGAGGAGGACTATTCTCAATACACTGAGTTGAGTATACAAATCATATATTATTATTATTATTACTACTGCTACTACTTTTTTCTTCAATAATAATAATTCGCAATCGCAATCGTAATAATTCTTCATACTACTCAACAATTATCACGGTGGAAATTTTTCGGCTTCATATTATCAAAGTGTTAATGTTCATTCACTTGTCGAAATTACGCATAGGTAAGTTATTCCCTCATCATTGACTTTATGCTTGCCATTCAATTTGTATTTAGCTGCTTTTTTTTGGTTTTTGAAATGCCATTGATGTATGTGTGCCCTTTAAGTTGAATTCCTTCCGAGTGATTATTGATCATTTACATATATTTCAGTGGTTAGCATTCACCCGTGTACAAATCGATAAGTATTATGTTCCACACTACTTGAACAGAATACTATTCATATAATAACTTTTTATGACAAGGTCAATGTTTAATGACTTCTACGAAATTAGTCAAGGTTACTTTGATTACTGTTCAGCTGCTTAGGCGTGTCATCAGTTCGACTGCATGATAGATCACTGTCGGAGTGGAATTTTACTTTAGTCAATTTAAGTGGTTTGCGATCCTCTGAAGATGATGGTTTATCCCTAAAAGAACAAGTACAATTATTCGATTCCTGTGTTATACTGTACTGTACTGCACTGCACTGCACTGTATTATAACACTGAGCCATGCATAACCTGTATTTTACTCTCTGAGCTTAATTAAAATAAGTCACTGGATAGCAGAAGGTTCTTGCATATCTTTGCTTTCTCTAATTAGACACAGCATACAGGTGTTAAAATTTTTACAGTTGGGCAAATCCAGCTTGGCTAATTCAACTTACTAGTGAGATAAATATGTAATTGATAACTGTGTTCATTTGTCTTATACTCGAATCGATTCAGCTCTGATTTGATTTGATTTGAAAAAATATCCCATAGAGAGTCTTTGAAGTGCGTCGGTGCGCCACAGTGGTTAGGACGCTCGCCAACCATGCACATGGTTCCCGGTTTGATCCCCGGCCATCAACGCACTCCTTTACCTCGCTAAGCCAAAAATGAAAAAGTTGGTAAATTAATCCCAACTGCCAGTGAAATTTTAAGCCTGTAACTTGAAGCCCTATGTTCCACTGGGAACGTGAAGGAATTAGTAATAGTAATAGTAATAGTAATAATAATACTACTACTACTAATAATAATAGAGTCTTTGATAGTATTCAATGTCAATCATTAGGGTGAATGACAGTCAGTCAGATCTGCAGACTGATGCCAGCTTAAATTCTTCGCAGATATTCACTTCACATCTTTAGAAGAGAAAGAAACAACTCATTAAAAGATCAGATCGTGGAGATCAGGGTCAGGGCTATATGCACTGCGCGTGCGTGTGTGTGTATTAATGTCTGAAATTCGGCATTTCGCATTACTAGTAAGTGGACTTAATAAAGTAAGCCTGTTCGTTCGATTTGAATTAGCGACAAATCAATTTACCTTAGATTATTTAAAATTTCTGAAATATTATTTGCTATATAATTTATGTTTTGCAAGCTATATATATATACATATAAACCCTGACCCTTAGAGTATTCCTCGCAATCAAGTCACTATAGATTGTTAAATATTTTAGATTACAGGGTAGAAATAAGTTTGGCTTTCACAAAAGAGTCGATTAATCGGTGATAATAATTCCTGTGACGTAATTTGCCGAGTATGATTACTGTAGGCTTATTACATAACAGCCGACAATGCCTAATTCTGATACTTTACTCTAAATTATTGGATTACGCTTATAGATTGATGACTAATCTGCCTTTATGAGTATTTATTGAAAACGCACACGCACACACACACCGAGGATGTTTTGATGAACTTATTATTGACTGGAAAAGCAGCTAAAAAATCAGTCTCATCTATATGGAATATATATATATATAAATATATATATAGAACATTTTCAATTTCACTCCTGAACTCACCCCATGGTAATGTTCGTCGAAGTGTTGAGAAGTGGTAAAATAAGATTCAAGTACCGTGTTCACTTCAATCTGGTTTTTGAGTCATGCATACATTAGTGCCTCTGTACTTCTTTTTCGGGAATGTTTTTAGTATTTAGTCTTTGTAAAGGAGTTCTCTTTATTTCTTATTGTGTTCATGACGCATACTGTACTCATAACCAGGCTGAATACCAATTTGCAACGTTATTCCTATTTTTTTTATTTTTTGTTCCTTCACGTTCCCAGTCGAACATAGGGATTCAAGATAGAGTCTTTAAGTTTCACTAGCAGTTGTGATTATTTTTAACATGATGGGGTTGCTAGCCCCACGCCAAACCTTCCCTCTTTACCGAGGCTTGGGACTGGCTAGAAAACTAGTGAGTTAGTTAACTAGGTGAGGTACTTTTTTAAACTGTTGTTGGTTGGTTGGAGGCAATCGGCAGGACACCGTGGACCTGGGCTGCCTGCTTGTTGGTACTCATCAGTCAGCAAGCCGTGTCTCCATTCTTGAAGGAACTCATATGCCTCCTGAGATCCGAACCCGTGTCAACCACCGCTGGGGTCGGAGACGTTACCGTTGAGTAATTTCGGCTCGCGACTGACATCTTTTAGGAGTGGAAGAAATATTTTGATCGGACACTAGAAGTAATTATCTTGAGGTGTGTATTCACAGTTCACAAAAATTTTTAAATTACAATTTTGATACCTTCTTAGTCATGTGTTGAAACGTTTTCATGATACTTAAATATCGCTCTTCACATTTCACTTAAATCAAAGGATAAATGAAAGTGAACACATCAAAAGACTGGCTAATGAACAAAGAATATTCTTTTCGATAACTTCATAATCAGGTTCTACAGTTATATTATCATAACTATCGAGGAATTATTATTAATGACAATATTTTTTTTATTTCTTCACGTTCCCAGTGGAACATAGGGCTTCAAGTTACAGGCTTGAAGTTTCACTAGCAGTGGTGATTATTTTTACGGGATGGGGTTGCTAGCCTCATGCCCAACCTTTCCTCTTCACCAGCATTATTTCTGGCTTAGTGAGGTAAAGGAGTGCGTCGGTGGCCAGGGATCGAACCCGGAACCATGTGCGTGGTCGGCGAGTGTACTAACCGCTATACCACCGATGCACATTATTCCTATAATAGGCAAGAAATAAGTCAGCTTTGGAATTCCAAAGATGATGTGAACAATGTATACATGTGATGATTCCAATAAGGTTAAGATAATTCAGTATGAATGAATGCTACTCATTATTTCGCTTATTTTAATTGGCATCAATTATAATCAAAAGTTATGAATTATATTACTGGTGTAAAATTGTAAATGGATTCCATACACTCACTCTTCATTTACTGTTTTATTAAATTCCAAAAGTTGAACACCTAGAGTATATAATAAGTCTCTCACAGTTCGGAACTGTTTCGCATAGTGAATCGATCCCAAGGTAACGAACCGTAACCATAATGGTCATCTTTTCCATATATCACTGGGCATTTTTTTCCTCACTTCCTCAGACTAACTTGAATCATAAGTTCAGTGCTCGTGATGAGTAGCTTTCAAACAAAGTGTGTTGAATGTACCAATACTTAGCAGTTGTTTAGCTTTTTTTTTACTGTAAACAGTGTGATAAACTTTAAGGTGTTTACTCCAACCTTATTAATTCCATTCCATCGAATGTTATCATGAGGAAATCAACGCATACTAATTAATTTTCCACGGTCCAAACTCGAGGTTATCATACTGTCGAACTTCTGCAATGCATTCTTTGTAATAAACATATCAATAACAACAAAAAATGCGCACGCTTTTTGCAATCACCACGCTGTTTGTCAAACTTCCTATCATGTAAATAATAAACTGCTTATGGAGTATCTTTCAATACTGCATAGTTAGTGTAATTGTTCAACTAGTAGACTATATAGGCTCATACATTTAATTAAATGGCTTTTTGTGAAAATGGACGACTTTTAAAGACACCTTTCATCACTGTCAATTATCCCAGACTTGGTCAGAAATACTAGGAACATTAGTTTTTGAAACTGTAAGCTTCATTTCTCGAAGGGATAAGGGATTTCATTATGAAATGAAACTAGGGGTCATTGCTTTCTTCTGTCTGGCTGCCCTTATGTCTGTGTGTAATTTCTCAGCGGCTGTGAAAACACACTCAAATGCCTAAAGTTTGAGAATAGACAGGCAAGCAAGAGAATGAGCTGCAGTACCTCATATGACCATAATCTCTTAATTTCAATTGACAGATTTAATTTAGAATAAGTGGAACCCTCTTTTCAATTTAGGTGACATGGAAACTGCTCTAAATTGTTTTGTCCTTTTTCAAAAAATTAAATTAATATTTTTAGGTTTTTAGGACAATTCAATTGTCAATCTTTGCTTGTACACTAAATCAGTGGTATTTTTAACTTAAAGGTTTGTGTTCACTTATTCCCCGACACCTAGAGCTGAGCATATTTCTGTTAATAATTATGACGTATGAATAACATGATGGACAGATGCTTCTCGGTCGAAAAGAAATACTGTGCATTCAACCCTGTATACACATTGATTAACTGTTCTGATGGCAATAGAAGTAGTCATCATCCTTCAGGTGTAGATGTCAACAGGTTAAGCAGTCTTGGAGTGTCGTGTGTATGTGAACTTCGATGTGTGTATTTGTATGCTGAAACCGGTGTGTATGTGTGTGTGTGCGTGGAAATGGCACTGAAAGGCTGTACACTTTTGTCAGATTTTCAAGTTTTTGAATGATGAGGATATTTACACACCCACTGGCAATTATTATTATTATTATTATTATTATTATTATATTACATTTCCCTTGGGTTCCGAGTGGAACGCAGAATTTCAAACAGTACATCTTCAATACACCCACTAATCATTTTCCATTAGAGTTCCACTTGGGTGATGACCTGGAGTGGGATGTCATTCTACAGTCTTCTCAGTGTATTTCTAATCTATCTCAATTTTTTTGGCTTAATTCTTGAGCGACAGGTTCGTTCCCAGAGTTTGTAAACCATCAGTCAATAATTTTCAGATGTGCTGATAATCCCCACTATAATAATAATTATAATACTTATTATTATTATTATTATTATTATTAGTAGTAGTAGTAGTAGTAGTAGTAGTAGCAGTAGTATTGTGGTGAGAGCTGTCTACTAGCCAAATTGGTAGACAGTAATTTAC